CAGGATTCACTTACACCTGTGGATCCTCTGGCAAATTATACTTTATTAGCAGAAATACAAGTAGCTTTCACTCACACTGTAGGCAAAAGTTGAATGAGACCTACCTGTTTATTTACATTTAATTAAAGATGATAGGTTTTTAGATGAGATATCAAGAAGTCTGCCTCTATGTTTTACTGTTTCCACAGGTAACAGCTATATTGTTATACAGCCATATTGTTGTATAATAATAGTTCAACTCACCTCATACTTTCTAAATAGAAACATTCTCTAATATATACCACAAACACATGGTCACTACCCTTTTAATGCTTCACTTGTTATTAGCCTTACAGTGCAACAGAAACAGACCAGCTGCTTAATTTAGGAGGATGCTTTCTACAAGTATCTTTTACCCAACCTGGGATACATCATAGACAGTCCAAAAATACAGAATTTCATATTAAACATGAGAAACTACAGAAACAGAACTATTACAATTCTTACTTGATCATATCCTGATGCTTTAGGAATCAAAAGGGAATTGTATGCAACTTCCATATTACTAGATAGATCATTCTAATGGGCCTTAATTTTCCCAGAGGTTTGCCCTATCTTGGAACTTACTCAACTACTTCACTAATCTCTGAGCTGATAAGGCAAGTGCTTAAGTTAATTCTGAAGCACCATCTATCTAGTAAGAGACTGTATGCAGACAGGCAATAAGGCTGGAATTATACTCCTCAGGATTTAGTCTCTACATGTCTGCAGTCATGCGGGGCAAATCACTCTACTTCAGTTTCTCTAAAATGTAGTTATCTTCATAAAACATGTCAAGGTCCTCCAGTGAAAAAGGGCTTCTTTAATTTGATTTGTTTGTACTGTCATGGTGCTAAGAAAAGCCAACAGAGATCAACTTTCTATTTTACCCAAAAAGTGCATAGCAAATAAAAGGTGATAGAGAAGAGGAGGAGACGAGGAAGGTCATTACCATTTTATCTGGATGGGCACTGAAACACTAAGAAATTGAATCCCTGAGCCAGCATCCTGTAGATCTGTATCAGAACCAGGAGTTAGCTCTGCAGGGCTTCAGCACCAATGCCATTCTTCTTTGCAAATACAGCTTTCAGCAAAGCAAAATATTTCTGCATTTTTTAGATTTGAGAAAGCAGCAAGAGATGCTTCAATAGCAGAGAACTGAGTTATAGAAAGGGAGATCCAGTATAAAATCTCTCCCATATACCTGTGCGTGTTGCACACAATGTGTTTTGACAACTGTAATTGCAGATATCACCAGTCATGGGGACAAACACCACTCTTTTCTACACTTCAATCCATTTTATTGTGTAGATCTCAAAAGAATTAGCCCGCCCTGGTAAGCAACTGAATTTCTTCTCCTATCACTCCACTATCTTAGTGAACAACACAGAGCACTATATCCAATTTAAATTTACCAACTGTTGCTTCTCCTATCCAACGACTTTTTTGCAGCCTCACAATAGCCTATTCAAAAAGAAATTGAAAGTAACTTCGGAACTGCCCAAACTGCTGGAAGCCATCTGTGTGCTTATCTAGAATCACGAAATAATTGAGGTTGAAAGAGATCTCTGAAGGTCGTCTAATACAACTCCTTACCCAAAGCAAGGCTAACTTCAAAAGTAAATCAGTCTGCTAAAGGCCTTTATTGGCCAAGTTTTAAAATGTCCAAGGATGGAGATTCTTTGGGCATCTGTTCAGTAGTCAAGCAAGAATCAATGAATGACACTTCCAAAATCCCCAAAACTCCCAGGGAAGGAGAGAAGAGAGTGCTATCATTATGGCACTATGGTGCTAAACAGACACTGATGGGCTAGTGAGAACATAAAGGCATTGTGGGAAGAAGCACAATATATGGCTTCCCAAAACAGATTTCACTAACTGCTAGTGATGTCAGTAGGGCAGCTACTACTGCAGTGCAGCATCCATTTCTGCTGCCCACAGGATAAGATATGTAAAAACCTTTTTCCCCCAGTGACTTCGCTTTGTTTCTGTGTATCTGGTATGCAGGCGAGGAGTTCTGCACCTGCATGAAAGCCGTGGAATCCATGACCTTGGCTTGCCTCGCTGGCAACTTTCCCTCTGCCTCTTGGTGGTGGTAATCATTCTTTTCTTTAGTCTGTGGAAAGGCGTGAAGACTTCAGGAAAGGTAGAGCTAATATTGTCCTTCTATCTCAACTACGTTCTTTGTCTCCTTTAAGAAGTCTCCTAATTTAGAAAGCAAGAGACTAAATCACTACTTCTGAGGGAGCCTTGGGAACCAAACCATGTGAGAGGCCTTCATATATGTACAGTGGAAATACACAATCCAGATTCAGCCTTTATTTTATGCACAAGTTTTGCTTGTGTGATATTCCAACTGGAAATTTTATTAGCATATTATTTTCAATTCAAGGCTAGTGGTCTCATCCAGGAAATATTTTGAAAGACTTAAATTGTCTTAAATGTGCCTCCTATTCTTAGCCAAATGTACTAACGTTTCGATGGTTTCGGGTGCTTTGGTTTTATTATATAAAATGACAAGAGAAATATCTGATAAAAGTAATTTGAAATTACTCTTTGACATCCCTCAGAAAACACCTCAACAGAAATTCTAGGGTTGGATACATCTGAGAGCTTTTGTACATTTTCATGAAAGTATCACCTAACATCAGGCAATGACTGCACTTGTTTAGTAAATGATTATGTAGCTGAACAGCTAATCAGCAGTCTAACAGACACTGGTGACATATACACACTCCAAGTCTTCTGTTGGCCAAAACTGTCTCCTACTGGTATCTGTAAACATACATACCTAAAGACTCACGATACATAACAGCATTTTCCCCCAAGACATCCTATAAAGAGCTTCTCCATCGAACTGGATGGACAAAACCAAGAAAGTGCCAGCTGTATTTTTCACACATTGTTCAATCTTTTGTAACAGCTCATTAACCTTTCGGATCTCTGTTGTCTGCAGGTTGTTTGGATAACAGCCACTTTGCCTTATGTTGTATTATTTGTCTTGTTAATACATGGAATAACCCTCCCTGGTGCATACAATGGAATAAATGCATACCTGCACATAGATTTCAGAAGATTAAAAGAAGCCACAGTAAGTGTACTCTTCTGCTCTCATTCCCTTGTTATTATTAAACCTGTTGCCCCTGTTACTAAAACTGAAAGCTGATTTCTGAAATTATATAGCCACACTTCTGCTTTTGCACTAGTCCACTGTTATGGAGAGTGTTGGAAAGTTAGACTATCTCAGCCTGAACCCAAACCATTCTGATCACAAAAAAAACCCTCACCCACAACGCAACAACTGTATGAGGGCAGTTTCAGGTGTGGCAGTCCCTTAAGTCCATGCTTTGACTGTGTACCCTGTAAAGTGTGGTATCCTTTTGAGTCATGCAAAAATTTAATTCTCAAAAGGCTAAGAATTCCCTCAAGAAGAAAATTTTGCGTTTTGAATCACTAGGTTAAACATTAATGTGGTAAACAAAAATCCTGGCATATGAAAACCTTGCTAAACATACTAAGTCAGGACTAACTCACCTCATCATGGTCCTTCATACAAATGAGATTTTCAATAGTATGTTATTCTTATCTTGCTGTTGAAAGTAATGTCCCTGTATCACTTAACAACATTGCAAGACATTCTCATTAAATATATCCAAACCAACACAGTTTGTGGAGTACCTTGGAACTAAGAATTATTTCATCCATTCTAAAGCAATCCATATCTACAAGTATAGTCACTAACTCCCAAAATCACTGGCATTTCAGACCTACAAGAACAATGATCTGGTGACTACAGATAGATCTTACCACTGTGCTATTCTAAAAATATCATAAATCAATTATAAGACAGTATAATCTCTGTGGATGGGTCACAGGGCCATTCAAATGGTTACAAAACTGAAAAGTGAGGATGCAGTTCTACTAGAAGGAAATGAACTGTCTCAAAAATTTGCAGCTTTCAGAGATGTCTGTAATCTGTACATAGTTGCACTGTACATTTCCTATGCATCCTGAATAACTAAAAAGGCAGACAAAGACCTCGTGTGTTAGAACACAGACCTATTTTATATACTCTTAGCAAAACAATCCTTCCTGGTTTTGTAACACTAAAATTGGAAACTGTCATTTCTTCAACAACAGAAGTTATCACCAGAACCCAGACCCCATCTCACTCCATTTTGGAATAGTCAAACCAAACTTCAAATATGGGACTTTGATCTACGTTTGTCACCAAGGCGGTAGCCACCTCATTAATTCACGTTTATGCATACACATAAATACAAAGATGCAAGGATGAACAAAGGAGGTGCTTAAATTTTTCTTATATATTTTAAATGCTGTTTGGAAAAAAACATCACAAGTTCAACTAGGTGTCTGTGGAGCTGTGCCAGCTTGCATCAGTTCAGAATCTAGGCCTCCATAATCATAGCTGCCTTCTGCTTATGGAAGGATGTTCTGAGCACTGCTCTTTCTTGGCTTAATATTTCTGCAGCTGCTGTTTGGATGACCCTAAAGTTATCTGTTTTGAAGACTGTGTTTTTCAGACAACAACAAAAAGAAGTTGCTCTAGAATAATAAAAGGCTAAAGATCCTTTATAAGGAGAAGTTTCGCAAACTGCTTTGTCACATCAACCTTTCTCCTGCTCGGAGACTGCGATACCTGCTGCTGCAGTAGCCTTGTGTGTTTAATATTTGTCCTCAGGCTCTGAAGAATAGACTCCTGCTTCAGTTCTATGTCAATGTGCCCCTGAATCTTTCTGCTTTATGATTTTTTTTTCTCCAAAATGAAGAATCTAACAAAGAAACATGGTATGTCACACACAGTAATGACCTACAGAGGGCTCTGCCAATGCTTTTCTGAAAGACCTTAGAGCATCCTGATCACTGTCAAGATCTGCCTTATGTTATAGGGCCACATACTGCACAGCACTGAGCAAGCCCTGGAACACCTCAATTTTCAGAGATATTGAACCCACAAGGGGTGTCTCGATAAAAAACATAGAAAGATATTCACCTGAGAACATCTTAACTAGAACAGTGCCTAGCTATGTTCCCTGCTGAAAGTCCAGAAGCTACAAAGCCATAATACTCATCTCCACTGCACAAATTGATACATTAAATATCTGTGTCAAACAGCAGCTACACTTCTGTTCTGCTAAAGGAATCAGCATTAAATACAGAGTTAAATCAGACATGAGAAGACACTTGCTCTTTCATACACCTTAACAAGTTTCCTGAAGATTATATAACATCTGGGGGTGCATACAATGTTTTCTCTCCACACAGCACAGGAATTCTTTAAATCCACATACACAAGAAAGAATATGCAAAAAAGTTATAATGGCATAAACAACCATGAAGAAAGGTGGAAAGATTGATGACTGTCTCCTGTAAAATGTTTCTATTTTTTAATTTTTAATGCATATAAAAACAATATACTACTATAAAATATATTAGACTATGCATCAATCAGAAGCCATTCAGCTGAAGTGAACAAAGAACATGAGCGTAAACTGCAGAAGAACCAGCCCCGCTGTCTGTTTCACATCCTGCTTTGTTATAACAAAGAGAATGTTTTGCATCTAATCTTAGTTCTAAAGGATATTCTGGTTTCTGCTCTTTTTTCCCTTCACCTTGATCTTCTCAGTTTGTTTCCTAATCAGCTACTATGAGCCAAGACTCTTACTCAACAGATACTTAAGCATATGCATAACTCCTTTGGTAGGCAGCAGGTGCTAACCTCTTACTTGAATCAATAGGACTTAAGCAGATGCTTAGTGGTGCCTGAATAATAAGAAAGGGGAAGTATAATGAGTACAACCCCACTGGCAAGACACAAAAGAGCTAGAGAAACACTAAAAACAAGTGCCTTATGGTGGCAGCATGCAGATCTAGTTATAGTTTAAGCAAAATTTATTAAAAAAAAAAAATTCATAGCATCATAGAATGCTTTGGGTTGGAAGGAACATCTAGCCCAACCTCCCTGCAGTGAGCAGGGACACCTTTAACTAGATCAGGTTGC